AAAAGCGGAAGTAAACCTATACTTCTTTAAAATTATATCTTGAACCAATTCACTGCAAAATCATTATCGTCTCCTTCAAAACTTGCCGCCTTTGAACCCACTTCGGGAAACTGGTATTGTCTTGGAAAGTTACATAAAACTGCCAAAATTTCAGAAATCAGAATCCACAGCTCGCCAGTAATAAAAACGACGTGTAATCTAATCACAGTGCTTTGGTTAGCAAAATAAGCTCAGGTTATAGTAAGTTCAAAGTGCGTTCGAAGAAGGGATGGAATAGTCGTTAAAATGCAAATGGCAGGGTTCACTGAGAAGCAACTGCAGAAATAATTGGGCATAGGTTTAGGACATAAACTCAATGAAACAAAAAACCATCGTTCTATCTAAAAGATGGAAGCTTCTTAAGAAGAAAGCCTTGGAATAGGTTTTTCGACCTGGAAAAGACCAACTTGGATCAGCACCAGTGGGATTGGATGGATTTGACGAAGCGTCGACCGAATGAGAACGAAGGTGACGACCATCGTCCCATCGTTGGACACAAAGCACCCTTTTTTAATAAAATAAGGCGATCAATAAAGAAGGACACGACGCGGCGCGAGCCAAAAATCCACAAGCGCTGCGGGACCGCGCGGCGTGAATTCGCGCGCTAAACCGGTGCGCTCGACGGCGATTTGAATGCGCCCCGAGATCGGCGCCGGCCCTCGGCTCTACGTAGATCATCTAATGAACCTCGGGTTCGGCAGCTGACCCGTTTGGCTTGTCGGGCTGGGGTGCCCATTGGTCTGCCTTTGTATTTGTTGAATCCCTTGCTTGCCCTCTCAGTGCATTTGCACTTTTTTCTTATCAAACTTGAACTTTGTTTGAACTTTTCTGGGCCGTGGGTAGTTTCACAGAGAACCAAATGACACATTTTCGTTTTTGGTGGGGATTTGATTCCAGAATTGTCAGAGTTCCATCCGAATGTTGATAGGATTGAGAGATCCAGGACTTTTTTGAATACTCTCTATTC